GACCTCGGCCCCCCCCCCCCCCGTTTCTCTCTTCATCCGAGCTTCTTTACAGTCTCTCCCTCCGGGTTAGCACTCTCCCAACTTCGACCATACAAAGGTCCGTTTACAATCCGGGTTTTAAAAATTCAGGTTCTGGCCCCCATGAGAATCTCTAGAAACCCGACCCGCAGTTTTAAGTTTCATCCAATGAAGGACCTAGAGGCGGGTCCAGGAGGCGGGCCGGTGACGTAATGCAGATTGACTGGCATTCGGGCCGTACATACCCTGGATTAGCCACGAGTTCCGCCAACCCAGAGGCAGGGGTGGGACGGTGCAGGCGCAGAGAATTAGGTTTGGCTGGTCTTGATTTAAAGAGACAGAAGCTGTCGGGGTCCTGGAAGACGGTCCCCGATTCCCTCCCCCCAAGTCTTTGGGACCACTTAGGTCCACAGAGCTGGGGAGATGGTTTGCGGCGGCTTTGCCTGCTCCAAGAATGCGTTGTGCGCTCTGAACGTGGTCTACATGGTGAGGTTTTGGAGGTGGGGGACGCTTTAGGGAGGAAAAGTGAGCGGGGAGACTCTAGGGGACTTCCGGTGAGGAGAGGGGTGTACTGGGGTTCCGGGAAGATTCCTAGAACTTCCGGCGAAGAGGGAATTCCTGGGGACTTCCGTGGAAGAGGGGAGACTTCCGGTGGTGAGGGGATTTGTCTGTGGGTTAGGGGAATGAAGGTTGCGGTGTTAAGCCCCATCTCTTCCTCTGTGTACCTCGGTTTCTCCCAAAACAGAAGTGACGGGCGACACAGGGTTCAGAACATACCTATCCCCCACCCCCTCACCCCAGTTCCAGCCATTCTGACTTCCTTTGGGAGGAGCGCCCCGAGATGCTCCTGTTCCCCCGCCCCACACAACTTGACGCTCCAAGCCCCCTTGTAATGGCCTTTGGCTGTCCTGCACGCTTGAATTCACGTGTCCCTCTCTGTTTTCTGTAGCTGGTAGGTTTGTTGCTCATTGGAGTGGCCGCCTGGAGTAGGGGCCTGGGTCTGGTGTCCAGCATCCACATCACCGGGGGTGTCATTGCCGTGGGAGTCTTCCTTCTCCTCATCGCAGTGGCTGGACTGGTGGGTGCTGTCAACCACCACCAAGTCCTGCTGTTCTTTGTATCCTGACCTGACGTGATGGGGAACCGGGCTTTTGGGAGGGCTGTTGCCATGAAGAAGTTACAGTAGGGGACCTCAGGGATCTTGGGGTGTGTGTTCTTGCCCTGCTCTACCACAGCATATAAAACAAGAGCTGATGATTTTGTTTTCAGCCTGACATGGTTGTATATATTTTATGAATAGATGAGGCCAGATGGTTATTCTAGGTGGAACATAAAGGGATCTAGGCTTTTTTTTCCCCCCTTAACTCTCTCAGTACATGATCATCCTTGGCTTAGTCTTCATCTTCCAGTTTGGAATCTCTTGCTCATGCCTGGCTATTAACCGAAGCACACAGGTAAGGTGGCGCCTTTCGAGCGCTGTTTTAAACATCTAACTTCTTCCTTAGTCTGCCTCAACTACCCAAAGATCGTTAAGTCTACTACTTCCAGATTCTTGAGACGCGTGCTTCCTCTGGGATTTCTGGGTAGTTTTCCGTGTGATCTAGAGTGAGAACCTGAGAAGGTGGATATTAACCTGTGACGTCATTGTGCTTCTGAGGGTGGCAACTTCCTTTGCTGGAATGGAAATTGAGGCACTTCAACTAAAATCAGGATGTGGGAAGATTAACTTCCCTCTGCCTATCCTCCAGACAGATGTCATCAATGCTACTTGGTGGGTCATGAGCAACAAGACCCGGGATGAACTGGAAAGAAGTTTTGATTGTTGTGGCTTGTTCAACCTTACAACCCCCTATCGACAAGAAGACACTTTCTGCACTGCTGTGAGTGCTAGAAAGGGGTGCGGGTGGGAAGAGGGCAGGTAGAAAACTGGGTAAGGACAATACTCACAGGGCCAGGGGGTGGTTAAGGACAATACTCCACAATGGCAGATTCAATTCCAACATTACTACTTCTCCCTACGGCAGCTCACTCGTACTGGAGCTATATGCTGGTAAGAGGGGATGGATAGAGGCTTGGGATTACCCAAATAGAAATTCCATTTGTAGGATACCAGTCAGGTATTAGTAAATATTTCTAGGGACATTCATATAGGTATTGGGATAGTACAATTTGGCGGTTTTATCTCCTCCACACACATTTTATGCTCAGATCTGCAAGAGGAGGAGCCCCCCATGTCAGATGTGCGGAGAAAAGTTTCTTAAGCATTCAGATGAAGCCCTGAAAATCCTGGGAGGTGTTGGACTCTTCTTCAGCTTTACAGAGGTATAATATTCTTCTCTTCTCTTGCATATACCGTTTCTTTTTTTGGAGAGGTTTTTGCTATAGGGCGTGTGCACTCACCAGAGAGAGAAAGACAGAGACAAAGCGAGAAATCACCCCCCCCCAGGGGGATGGCCACACTGCAATCCCTTCTCCTCCATTTTCTTGGGATCTTGGGCATGCACGCGCTCGGTGTGAGTTTAAGTCACCAGGCCAGGGACTCAAAACCACAGTTGACTACATGGGAGTCCAGCGACAGTCATTACGCCAACCACTGGTCCCTTGCATATACCCTTTCTGAGGTATGGTATACTTCTCTTGCATATACCCTTCCTCTACAAGTCTTTTTTCTTTTTTTGGAGAGGTTTTTGTTATAGGGCACATGCGCTTGCCAGAGACAGAGATAGAAACTGAGAAATCACAACCCCCCATGGGGGATGGCCACACTGCAATCCCTTCTCCTCTATTCTCTTGGGATCTCAGGCACACACGCACACATGCCCGATGTGAGTTTGAGCCACCGGGTCTGGGACTTGAATGATGTTCAGCTCATGGGAGTTCAGCGACATAGCCATTATGCTAACTGCTGTTCCCCCTCTACAAATCTTAACCCAGAGGTTCAGAACTGATTGGTGTTTCTTTGTCCCTTTGTTCCCACAGATCCTTGGTGTTTGGCTAGCAATGAGATTTCGGAATCAGAAGGATCCTCGAGCCAACCCCAGTGCCTTTCTATGACACTATGGATCCTTCTGACAAACATCTCGCCTGCTCTCTGCTCAGCCTAAGCTTTTTCTTCCTCCTGGAGGGAAAACCTTGGGTCTACAGCCTTTTTGTAGGGAAAACCTTGGGTCTACAGCCCTTTTTGTTTGAGAAAAAGGAAAGGCCCTTTGTTGTGTACCCTAAAACTGACCGAATGGCAAGGCATTGTGTCTTGACATTATTTTGGTGGGAACAAGATTATAGGGAATAGAAAGAAAAACTTCCTGCCTCCCCTAGTGGACACGAGAAGTTCCAGGGATGGGATAAGGGTTGGAGTCATTTCTTGACATTTCTTCTTTTTCCCTTTCCACATGCTGGACCACCTCAACATACCCTAGCATGGCTCCAAGGGTATATCAGGGACAGAGCCAAGGAGAAAACCGAGAACTCTTGTAACACACAGGACCCAATTGAGAATGTTCAGTGAATATAAAAATAAAAGCCATTGTAATTCCACACTGAAAGTAGCAACTTAAGTTCCTTTCTAATCCCTGACAGCCAAGAGGCCCCACTGACTGCCTAGGCCCTGCAACTTAAATAAAGTCTTTAAGGTTCTATTGAGAAGGTCCTTCTTCCAAGTGGTTTTTCCAAATCTCCTGATGACAAAGCCCATGAGAGGAAGAAGCATTAAAAAAAAAGATAAAAAGACCATGTTTCTTTGTCTCATTTTGTTTTTCTATATAAAAAAGAAACCCAATATCAAGATAGGGAAAAGAAAAAGGAACATACCCCTTAGTGTAGAGAAATGGCAGGTGGGTGGAGGTAGGAAAAGGGTAAGCAGAGAAAGGAGGAGCAGGAAGGGAATGTCATTAAGGCAACAAAATATCCTCTGTAAAAAGGAGTCTCGACAGCCTTGGAGATGAAGGCAGAGGTAGCCTTCTCAGTGGGGTTCTCTTCTCTCCACGCATGTCTGGGAGGGAAATGGCAGTGTGTCTTCCTTCTGTGGCAGCCACTCCGTTGCTCACTCAGGATTACCTTCTTCCTTATGTAGATAAGAGTGCTGCAGAGCTCGGAAGGCAGAGATTCGCTTGTGTGGGTTAAAAGTCAGCATTTCCTGAAGGGAGAGGTAAAGGTCAGAAAACCACGGGGGATTAGAGGACTTCTGCTACCCCCAACAATACCTGGGATGGGCTCTCTCTATTCACTCTCCCTCTCTGTGGATAACCATTCGAAATGCAATAAAACTTGCAGCCCGACCCCCAACCACATCTCGTTAACCATAATGGTCTAGATCAACAGATACTGCTCCATTTCTTGCCCCAAGCCAGTGTTCAGTACCAGCAATAGTTGTGCTCCAGTCTCCTCCATCTCAGGCACCACTGACTGCACCGGGCGGGGCACTCTGGGGGAAAAGGCTCCTCGGGGTAGAGAGACATCTCGGGGCCAGTCATCCTCTGGAGGCAGCCCAATTAGGCTAGGTGGGTAGGAGAACTCTGATCAGAAGGGTCCTTCCCCAGTTCCCATCCTTAGGGGCAGAGCCAGCTACTAGGCAGCTCTCATCAGAAAGAGGATTCAGAAAATTCTTTCCCCCTTACTGGTCACTTACTCAAAAATTTTGCTCAACTGGTCAGCTTCAGAATTTCCACAGAAGAGAGGCCTAAAGTGAGAAGAGACACAAAATAAGTTATTTTCAAAGATACCCTAGTGGAATGATTACTGATACTTAGGGGCTCAAACAGCATGAGAATTAAAGGGATATAGGAATTCCTGATTCTAGGGTATTTCACAGCTTTTGATTATGGGCAAGGTGAGTAGCAGTACTCCAAAGAACGGAGAGGTATGGATGCCATTTATCAATAAGGAATTTGGGAATTCAAGATGGTTCAGGGTATGTGGGTCCCATACTTTCGACGGAACATCTCTGCAAAGATACAGCCAACACTCCACATATCCACAGGTGTTGCATATGTAGACTGCAGAAGAACTTCGGGGGCACGGTACCAGAGTGTAACAACCTACAGGGAATAGAAAGAGTAGAGGAAGGCCCTACAGGTTTCCATGAAACATGTGGCTTCTCAATTGCTAAAGGCAATCGCCCCCAAAATGCATTTTGGCTACCATCTTTCTACTTACCACAGGTGTAAGTGCCATCTGGTAGCTGTAGATTCTGGCCAGGCCAAAGTCAGCCAGCTTGACTGTCCCACCACTTGTCACCAGAATGTTCTCTGGCTTCAGGTCTCGGTGAACAATGCAATTGGCATGAAGGAAATCTAGGCCTCTTAGAAACTGGCGCATCAGATCCTGGTTTGGGAAGGAGAGATACAGATGCACTAGAAACTATGCACCATATCCCAAATTCCAACAGTTTCTACTACAAAGGTCCCAATCCACCTCTTAATGTCTACCCACCCCACTCACCTTGATGGTCTCCACTGGCAAGCCTGGTGGGGATGCCTTGTCCAGATATGTCCTTAGGTCTTGGTCTACATGCTCAAACACCAGGGTCACCTTGATCTCCCGGTCAGTTCGAGAGGTGGCACAAACATCCATCAGCCTGGCCAGAAGAAATGGTCACTCACTGGTCCCAACATGGCCTCCCAAATTTCTTCAGGATTCCCACTTCTCTCCTGACCACCACATCCCACTTACAGGTTCTTCCCTCTTTATACTCCACGCCTAAACCCTCCACCTCCTTCTTACCTGACAACGTTGGGATGCTCAAAAGCCTCCAGCCGCCTCAATAAAGCCACCTCACGAACTGTGCTGATGGGAAGGCCCCCTCCAGCTCCTCCTCCATTGGGGACTCTCACACTCTTGAGGGCCACAAAGTGGCCACTGTGGGGATCCCGGGCCTTGTACACGGTCCCATAGGCACCAACACCAATTTCAGCCACTGGCTCATATCGAGAGGTAGCCATTCTTAGAGCTGGGGAGACCCTACAATCAGAGACTCCTACCATCAAAATTCCCTTCTGGAGTTCGGTAGTATGAGCCCGCAGCAACAAAGTGAGTCCCACAAGAGAGCACAGAGACACCACCCGCAGCGTCCCATCCCTCCCCAACCCTCCACTGGGCCAGCCCCTCAGGCAACACAATGACCCTAACACCAACTCCTCCGGCCGCGTGAGGCCTTGGACTAGCAAATGCCTTTTCTTTTGGGACCATCGCGGCAGCACAAAGTACATCGCACATGACACACGGCTTGCATCCAAGATCCTACACCTTAATCCCTAAAATGCCACCTCCCACAACCACAAAGGCCCCACTTCCCGCCCTTGAGCGACCCTCCCAGAACTAGCTCGCGAAGCGCACTCGGCCGAAGCCATGGGGGTGGGGACTGGTTCCCATTCCTGGGAAAGAGCCGCGCTCACCTCACCCCAAGCCGGGAGCTGCGGGGGCGGCCCGCTATCGGGGCCCCAGAGCTGGTTCCTGAGGCGCCATACACCCCAGCTCAGTCCGGAGCAGCTGGACGCTACGGGCGCGACCATAGACACAGGCCGCAGACTAGAGAGGCCCCCTCTCCCCCACCTTCACCATGTGACCAGCTGCCAGAGAGGCGCGCGGAAACTGGGGGGGCGGAGCAAACGCCGGACGTTGGGGGCACGTGACCCCTACCCATGCGCAGAGCCGGAGCCCAGAGCGGCTTTGGCGGGGAGGGGGCAATGAGGGGAAGGGGCGGAGGGACGATGGTAGCCACGTGATCTGTTGCTATCACACGTGACCGGTTGACATTGCTCTGTGGAGCAGAGGTGTGGTTACACGGTGAGGCACGTGACGGGCTGCCATAACCTCAGCTGCAGGGGGTGGAGGATGGGAGGGGTGCGAGAGAGGGTGGAGCCCTAGGCGGTACCATGGCAACCTGGGCCACCCCGATTCCAACTCGCGGCGGAAGGCTGAGCCTTAGTGCATCTCTAGTCTTACTATGCCTCTCTCAGGCTCTGTATATTGGGGGAAGGGAAGGTTGGAGTACCTTTTCGCTGCACCGTCACCGGAAAACATACTGCCATTCGTGTCTTTGTTTCACTGCTTCATTCAAAAAAACGTTACTGAGTGCTTGCCGCCGCCAGTGTGTATGTGTTTTTGTGTCGTCTCAGTACCAGCCTTGCAAAGTAGTGATAAGGCTATCTATAAAGATGTAGTTAAAAAAAATAAATAAAAGGGTAGCCAACGTTGTGATCTTACAAAATAGCGGGTAGGAAATGCCCATTTGAGAGCAAAAGGAGGATCAAAGGATGGACAGAAGGCAGGCTAGTAATCAACAGGAACAGTGCCAAGGTAATGCCCTTCTCTCTAACTTCCAAACCTCCCTGGCTGTGCGTTAGGCTGAGACCCAGATGCCATCGGACAGAGAAGTTACTGATGAGCAGGGGACAGGAATCCTTGACCTTTATTTAAAGTTCTTTTCAACACTAAAATCTCCATATACATAGGTGATACCATACATGTCCTGTCAACACAGATTGAGATATGTGAGTTGGTGTGTGAGGACAGTTACCACTCACTGCATGACAATGACTCGTACCCTTCTGCAAACTTTGTGACTCCCCATTTGGGGTCAGTGTGCTTCCGTCTGTTCTCCCAATAAGCTGTATTAACTCTCACTCCCGGCCACAGCCAGCTTTCCCAAATGGCCTTTGCCCATAGACACCTAGGAAAACATGGGTAGACATCTCTGGCTTCCCTATTCCCTAGTCTATTGTTTCCAACTTCTTTCTCTCCCAGACCTTTGAGAATATAGAAAGAGAGGAAAAGGGATCAGTGTATCATTTGTGAAAATTTATCTAAAACCTGAAACCATGTTATTGCCCTATCTGCCACTATTTCAGCCCCAACTACTACTATTTTCTTCAACCTTCTGGCTGAGAATGTTGAGGTCAGATATGAAGGTGAATATAAACCATGATTCAGGGCAAAATGGAAGGCATGTCAGTACAGATTCCTTTTTCCATTGTAGCTCTGGCCCTGATGACAAGAGCAACCAGAACACGGGTAAGGAAACCTCAAGGCCTGGACTAGCTAAGAGGCTGGATGGAGGTACATGTTTCATTGGCTACTTTGTTAAGGCTGGTTGGTTGTAAGCTTCCTACAAGGTTAAGGTGTGTTTTTCAAACCTTCCTACAGCAGCAGTCCCCATTTCAGTCTCACCTTCTGCATAAACCCAGTATGACTTACCCTCCTTAGAACAGAAGCCATCCTCTGTATTGACCTGGGTCCCAGCCCCTTTCTGGATTCATTCATACAAAACAGTCCAATGCTTTCTAGGAACATTACTGTCTCTCCTGTCTATCCAGTAGCCACAACTTGGCCGTCTGTCCCTGGCTCCATCCCCTCCCTTCTCCTGTTAATTACTCTTTTACTAATTACTTTTTTTCCCAGTGTGTTTGACCCAATGGGCTTCCCTGGAATCCCTTTTCCCTCAGCTTTGCAAAGAGGAAGAGAGGAGGAATGTAGGTGTAAGGCAGGAAAAAGTGATGGGGGGTTGGAAGAACTGGTTCTCAGGGTGGAAGGCCCTGGTGAAAGCAAAGAGCTGAGTATGTACGTGTGGTGGTCACCTCAGTGTGGTGGACAGCAGGAGAGTACCAAGGACATTCCCATCCCTTTAGCACGCCCATCTTCCTTGCTCACTCGTCTCCCTCATGCATTACAATCACATGACTGTTTCTTATACAATCTGATTCCGTTCCTTACACACTCACCCCTTCCACCATCCCACACAGAGTACACTTTTCAGCTTTTTGTGTGTTTATTGCGTGCGTCTATGTCTTGCTGGACACCTACCTCACACCTCAGACCCTTGCACAGCTTTGTACACTCCCATTTTGCACAAGCCTCTCCCTCCTTGGTATACCTGCGTCCTTTGACCACTCACCTTTTCCACTCTTCCCATTCGCACACCCCCCCTACACACCTATTCTCCTACCCGTGTGCACACTCCCCTTCCTTGGCCACTCCCCTCCCTCCACCCTCCCTGGGCTCGCACACTCGCCCCCGCCCCTGGGGACACCTGCTCGTGCGGGGCAGGGCGGGG